AGGCGGGTGGGCACGGGGGTCTGGGGCAGCGGGAGCAGGGTCGGGTGAGGGTGGGGGTGGGGGGGCAGCCAACTCACAACTCTGCACGCAGGGCGCGGGGAACTCGATGCCACCATTGAGCAGCCCAGTAAGGGGGACGGGCCAAGGCCAGCGAGAAAAAGTTCCTCCTGGTGCGAACTCGCCAGGAGGGCTGTCCTGAGTCCGTGTGGGGCCAAAGTTCTGGATCAATTTGGAGAAGCTATGGGGACTGCTTGGGGGTGGGGGTGGATTGAGATTCTGCTGGGAGGGGTAAGGAGTGGTGGGGCCATCCTGGACTCGAGCTCCCAGGAGCGGTGGGCTGACGTGCGTGCTTCTGGAGCCCACCGGGTTCAGGGAGCCGGGGGTGCGCTCAGAGCGCAGGTCCAGCCTGGACCTGGGGTCAGCTGGAAGGAGGAGGCGCACCGCTGTCCCCCCGGCCCAGGTTCTGTGATACACTCCGACTCGAGCTCTGGAGCAGTCAGTGCATGACAGAACTTGGGCCTGACGGACCTTCTGCACCCAATGGGCACAGCACCCACCCGGGGCCTGCAGTGGACCATCTACTTGGGAGTGGAACAGGCACCGGAGTTGGCCCTCGAGGCACAGGGTTGGGCCGGAACCAGCTATGGACCTTTGGGGCTGGGGTTACTGGAGCCAGAGCATGGACTCCTGGGGCCAGCAGATCCCATAAAGCTAATGACAGGACATCTTCCTTGAGTCAGGGGCCAACGGAGCTTCCCCCCTCTCCCTGTGTCAGTTGCAGGAACCTTCCCTCTACACCATCAAGGCTGTTTTCATCCTAGATAATGATGGACACCGACTGCTGGCCAAGGTAACTTCCCAACCTCAATCAGAGGGCCCCTGAAGACTGTGCTTCAGCCCCAAGAACAGAAGTCCCCACCCAGCTGACTTTTCTGTCTCAGGAGAGACCCCACTGTGGGCTCTATGACTCAGAGCAGCTCAACTTAGACCCTCCGAGGGTCATTCTGTCCATCCTCCTGCCTTGTGAGTGCTGGCCCCTGAAGGGGGAGCATGTCTCCCCCTGTTTCTACTCATGTCCCTTGAAATATCTTCTTATCATCCTTTCCACTGCCCACCTGACCCTGGGCATGGAAGGGACCACCTGAGGGGTCATTGGAGTGTTGAGCCTGGGACCCGGGAGTCCTAGTCTCAAATTCTAAACAAGCTACCTCCACTTTTCTTCTACAGCTTAACAAACACTAGGGATTTAGTCTGAGGAGTCTAAGAATTTGAAACCAGACAGGATTTTAGAGACCACGTAATCTAACTCTTTCACAAATGAAGAAAATGCAGTTAGAGAAGCTAAACGAGTTGCCTGTGGTCACAAGTGTTAATATCAGGACAGAGATCTGAATTCAGATATTTGACTTGGAGCTCAGGTTTTCACTGCTTGAACTTATTCAGTTATCTGGTGTCTATCCCAGTGAACATGACCTGGGTAAACCAAACTAGGATCATCCAAAAATAAATGTCTACTGTCAACACCATTAACTATAGTAGGGCTATGGCATCTAACTAGCTATGAAATACATTACAGATTTGTTTGTTTGTTTGGGGCTGAAACATTTTGTCTTATGCCTTCAGTGGCCAGCAAGGAGACAACTAATTTGCTTGCAGATGGGGTACTAAGTAGCAAAATACACACGCAGAAAATTGAAAGCTGAGCTCAGCATACCTTGCCCCAGCAGATGCTAAGAGGTGGATCAGCAATGCCATAGGTTTTAGGGCTTCCTCCTAGCAGGACACATCCATGTTCAGATTAAGAAACTGAGTCAGAGAGGCTCACCAAACCCAAACAAAATAGCATTGATTTAATTGTGCAATGTACACCAGGAACTTTTCCTTAGATATTTAATCTTCGCCATAGCCCTATCTGAAGTCAAACTATCCTTGATATTGAATCCCGGCTCTGACCCTACAACTCGAGATGTCAGGGAAGTTACCTGATTTCTTCATGCCTCAGTTTCCCTGTCTGTGTAACAGGGATAATAAAGTAGCTATTAGTGATTGTTGTTGTTGTGACCAAGGACCCTTGGTTCTACCCTCTTTCCTGTAGACTTAAGTTTGTGTAGAAACAGTATGATCTAGTGGTCACCCTAATCCTTAGCACACCACACATCTGCTGAATGTATGAAAACCTCTAAGAAATCAGGAGCGAACTCCAAAAACAGGCCTCAAAATTCCTCTGATTTTTAATACTTTTTTTTTACTTAGAATTTATGTTTATGGGGGATAGTGCACAGTCAGGCCCAGAGGGCAATAAAGAGGAGATGGGGCACTCGGCCAGCCCCGACTGTTCCCTGCCACCCATCCATGGAGGAGCCAGGCTCTGTGGAACGGCTATCACCCCTTCTTCTCTTTCTCATAGTATTATGATGACACATTCCCCTCCATGAAGGAGCAGATGGCCTTTGAGAAAAATGTCTTCAATAAGACCAGCCGGACTGACAGTAAGTGTCTTCCCCTTCCTTGCCCAGATCTCTCAGACGCACACTGTCGTCTTTTCCACCTGGACGCATCTGTCCCCATGGGCCCTATACACCCACAGGCCATTCCCTTTTCTTCAGAGGTTCTCTTCCTCCTCCTTCCCAGCTGTTCTCTATTCCCTCTGGGAAACCACTTCCCACCCTCTCAAACCCCCCACCCTCAGCACACCTAGTCCTTCTCTCAGGGGAAGAGGCCACCTGAGTTGTGGGGTCCCCACCAGCCTGGAGTGGTCCAAGGCACATGGTGGGAGGGGGTGGAAGGTCGACCTTGAACCGAGTTAACTCCTCAGAATGAGGCAGTTGCTAGAAATAGAGGGTGGAGGGAAGGACACCGAGTAGCCTAGTGGCAGTGTTTCTAGGGCTGGTCTTTGCAAGAGTTCTTTGGAAAGAGAGGAAGGAAATAGCGGGAGAGGTGCAGAGCCGGAGACGGGGACGAGCGGCCAGGCAGAGGTGGCCGGAACTGAAAGTCCCCTTCCCTTCCAGGTGAGATTGCGTTTTTCGGGGGCATGACTATCGTCTACAAGAGCAGCATTGACCTCTTCCTGTATGTTGTGGGCTCATCCCACGAGAATGAGGTGAATTCAGAAGGTTGGGGTGACGAGGAGGGTCTGGCCATGGGGAAATGGCTTGGAGTCTGGGCTAAAAGCTGGGTTCTGAGGGTTACCATCGGAACCCCTCCTTCTGGGCTCTGTGGGCTGGGGAGCAGCCAGAATGGTTTTTTCCAGGGATAAGGCATATCCATGATGCTGCTTAGGTTTCTTGGGAACCAGAGATGAAGTCCTCTGCAGAAACCTTTGTTCCTTAAACATCACTAGAGAAGGATCTACTCAGTGCCCCACAGCGGGACACTCCAGTGTTTCCCAATCCATACACGGGGAGGTGGCCTCCCAGGGCACGTTGCAGTCAGTCTCCAGCCCTGTCCTCTCTGGAAAAGGACAACCGCCCATGCAGGTAGGCTCTGAGGTCTCCTTTTGGCCTTCTCAACCTCAAGCTCTCTCGTTTTCCTCCTCCCATATCTGCCCACCCCCAGCTGATGCTCATGTCTGTTCTCACCTGCCTGTTTGAGTCCCTGAACCACGTGTTAAGGTGAGTGAGGTCCTCTGCCTTTCAAGGCCCCCATCTCCCAGGCCTCGGTACATCACAGAGGCAAGGCCCTTCCTCCCTGCTTTTCTCCTGAAGCCCCCACAAGGCTAAGGCTGGAATTGAAGCACCCCTCCAAGGCCCCTGCCCTTTACCTGACTTCCATAGTGTCACTCAGAGCAGAGCCACGCAAGGGTATGGCCAGAAAATGAAGTCTAGACCAGCTAAGTGATTTGCCTGAGGTTACGAACTGTTTATATCAGAACAGAGACTCAAATTGAGGTTTTTTTTTGACTTGAAGCTCAAGGTGGTTTTTGTTGCACCCCCATTCAGTTATTTGATATCTATCCCAGTGAACATGACCAGGGAAAACCAAACTAGGATAAACCAGAAATAAATGTTCCCAGTCAACACAATAAACTGTAGTAGAGCTACAGCACCTATACTAGCTATGAAATGGTGGGCACAAGTGTGGGAGGTTGGGCAAGGAGGGCTTAAGGAAGCAGGCCTGTCCTTTGCTCAGGAATCCTTTGCATAGGTGCTACCCTCGCTGCCCTTGACATTGTCCTTCCCAGAGCCTGTTGTATATGGTGGGGAATGGGTGGAGAGAGGGGGTCTGTCGCACTTAGGCACGGACCTAGCTCCTCCTGGCCATGGGGAGGCTCAGGAGCTGTGTCTGCCTTCAGGAAGAACGTGGAGAAGCGCTGGTTGCTGGAGAACATGGATGGAGCCTTCTTGGTGCTGGACGAGATTGTGGATGGCGGGTGAGGAAGGGGTGGAGAGAAGAGGGGCTGGTCAGGGACACTCACAGTGGGAGTTGCCTTTGAGGGCCGTCGGCTCTAGGTTGTGCCCAGCACATTGTTGGCTCTCTGGCCAACTTCTCCCTCCCTTCCCCAGCATATTCCCAGTGATCTCATTCCCCGCCCCTGCACCTCGCTCATGAGGATGGAGGTTAATTTCAATGTTAGCCAAAGTCAAGCAAACAGGAAAGGAATCTGATGTCCAAATATGGCTCACTGTTGAATAGGCAGAGTTTGGGGGAAATGGTTTGCTATCCAGGGCCCAGGAGAAGCAGGCAGAACAAACACTTTCTCCTCCATGGAGGACTTTGTTCGGGCAGAGCCCTGCCGCCTGCATACTGCCCGCTCTTAGAGCCCCATTCCAGCTGTGGCTAGATTCGTGACCTGGGCCAGCTGCACGTTCTTCTTGAGCCTCACTTTCCCTGTCTTTCAAATGGGGATGATAAGGGAACGACTCATAGGGTATGGGGATTAAATAATGTGACGCCATGGCAGGTCCAAGATCTAAAGCCATGGGCTTTTTCCATGACTTTATATCACACGCCTGGGGGCAGGGAGCTCTGGGAGGTGGGGTACTGCGGGATTCCTTCCCCTTCCCTCCCTATTGACTGCCTGTTACTGCAAAGCCTTGTGTTAGTTGCTGGGACCCAAGAGAAAGTGGAAAAAGACCAGATTTTGTGGAATTAGAAGCATATACAATTTGATGGAACCTCTTTAAGGAAAACACACACACACACACACACACACACACACACACACACACACAATGACAAATACAAAATGAGGCGCAGGGCCCAGGAAGGACCTGTGCAAGGGAGGACATAGCTTTCTAAGCTTCTGGGTCTGTGCCTCCATAAGGCCCAGTCTCTGCCCCTTGAGTAGCTTACAGTTTCCCTCCAAGGAAAATCAGGGAAGTGTCAGTCAAGTCAATGCCTGAACCGGAGCCTTGGCCTGAATGCTTCTGTCTTTATGGATAAAAGGACCTCTGGTGAGGGAGCCTAGGGCTAGGGTGCCCCAATGATGGGGCCTGGAAAAAACTCTCAAAAATATTTATTCATTCCCCTGGGACTGGTCCAGAAATAAAACTAGGCTTCTGCCCGGGAGGAGCCTCACCATGGTCTGTCCCAGCCACCATGAGGCCCTCATGCCTGCCCCCTGTACCCTGTACACACTCACAGATGGCCCCAGAGAATTCCCAGGGCATCAGGAAAGAGCGTCCCCTAGCTGAGAAAAGCCTTGATATTTGGGTCTATCAGAAGGAAAGATTCTGATTTTTGGAAGTCCATTTTTTTCACGTACAGCATGCCCCCTGTGGCATAAATAATAGTGAAACAAAATAGGCACCCCAGGGGGCGCCTGTTTTCACTCATCTGAATCCATCCCTAGACCCAGAAGATGAAGCGAACCTCCAAGAGTTCTGAGTTTTAGAGCCCCTCCTTTTGACACCCCGATTGTTCTAGACTGGACTCACCCCATTTCGCAGCTTTTGCCCAATGACACTGAGGGCGTGACCACCAGATTCGAGGTCTAGAAGAATCAGAGCCGAGGGCTCTCCGTGGTGAGGGAGAGGTCTGACCTGAGGAAAAGCAGTGGGGAGGTGCCCTGACATGGCAAAGGACGAAAGGGGCAGAGGGGAAAGAATTGTGTCACCAATTTTCTTTCTGGTTTCTCATCTTGTAGTGTGATTCTGGAGAGCGACCCCCAGCAAGTGATCCAGAAAGTGAATTTCAGGGTAAGAGTCTTCCCGCATGCCCCCTCACTCACATCTCCTCCAGGCTGCCCTCCTCGTCCTCCCAGCCATCTGTCCTCCCTGCACGTGGGCTGCCAGCCGGATCGGGGGAACTCAGGTTCCTCCAGCAGAAGCAACCTCGGGGACAATGCACTTGTAAAGGGAGCAGCAGTTGGGGGGGGGTGTCAGTTAGTAAAAGAGATCTCCTGTCCTCTCCCCCTGTAGAATCATCCAGCTCCTCACCATCCTCCCTGGTGGGAAGTGTAGGCTGGGGAAATAAACTCTCAAAGAGACCAGGTGGCTGCCTTGGCCTTGAGGTTGGGAAGTCGGAGTCTAGATAGAACCTCTGGCTTCTCTTGCCCTTTTCTCCCATCTTTATTCCCTTCATTCCCTGACTATCCATGTACCACAGACAGGCCCCAGGGGTCTTGGCTTCCAAGTGACGGGCTGCAGGCCTTCCACTAACCAGTGATACAGGTGCAGTTCGTGATCCCCTAAGCACTGCATCACCTCACCCCACCCACACCCCCAAGGCCCTTTACCTCTTTCTTCACCCCCTACCCTCACCCTGGTCTGACCACCCTCTGACACTGCTTCCCTGCAGGCAGATGACAGCGGCTTGACTGAACAGAGTGTGGCCCAGGTAGGCCCCCTGCATCTGCCTTGGCCAGAAATGGGCTAGAGGGAGAAGTAGAGCAGAGCCTCCCAGGGGGACCACAGTGGGGCTGTCAAGGCTGAGAGGAGTCAGAGTGTGAGAGGGATGAGGTGGCGATAGGCCATCTCTTGGAGGGAGTCACTGGAGGCTTCCAGAATCTCCAAGGGGGAGCGAATCAGCATTAGCAAGAGATACACACCCTCCTGGCAGCCCACCTCATCTCCTGGCTCGGCATAGTTAGCTCGAAACCCTGGGGTAAGCTGCCCACTCTGGAGATGGCTCTGTCACTTGCTCCCCAAAGCAATCCGGGGACTCAGGCCCCTGATGCTCCTCTCAGCCTGGAAAGGACATCAAATAGAATTTTCCTCCAAACCCTCACCCTTCTCCGTTAGGTCTATGTGGGAATTGTTAAGGGACCCTGAAACCTGTAATAGGATCTAACTTTCTCCACTCCCCACTTGTCACCTTGCCCCTGAGTGACCTGGCTGTGAAAGACTCCACCCTCACCAGCCCCTGCATGGTCCTACCTGGGGGTGCATGTGGGGCCAGAGGGAAGTCCCTGGATTTGTGGCCTGACTGGTTTCCCAGCTGTATAAACCTCCTGCTTGTCAGGCTGACTGCTTGACATCTGTTCTGTCTGCCCACAGGTCTCTCTGCCCAGACTAATCCTGCTTTTATGGAGCTTCCTGTCCTGGCACTAACTACCTCCTGCTGTGGTGGCCCAGGCTGAGATGGGCGTGTAACATTTCTGTGGAGCCCCAGGTGTGGTGCCCACTTCCCTGTCACTGCCCTTGATGCTTACTCTGCCTCTCCCTCTTCCCAGTTCCCCAGGCCTCTGCATACCCTGCTGGAAGGAATGAGGCCACATGGCTGTTTTCATATCCAAAAGAGGTTAGGGAGCAATGAGCACAGCAGATAAGAACACAGGTGCTGCTGTGAGTCATCCTGGGATGTGTGCACCACCTTACCGCCTAGAATCTCGGTGACCCAGGGCAAGTTACTCAATCTCTGAGGCTCACATGATCACAGGATACTCCTCAGTGTGACTGTGAGACTTAGACGAGCTAATGCAGAGAAAGCTCTTAGCACAGCTCCCCTTTTCCCAAAGCGGGAAAGAAGGAAGACATAGCACTTTTAATGGAATTCTTGAGTAAAAACCAAGGAATTACAGGTCGTGAATGGGAGGCGAAATGGCTAGCAGAAACAGGAGAACCTCAGGGCTAGGCTGTCCTTGAGAGAGCGGGAGACCGTGCAGGAAGAAGTAACAAACAGTTTGGGATGGACCTTCTTCGGAAGGGAATGAGGCTTGGTAGCCGGAGGGACAGTCTGAAGGATGTACCTGGAATCACCACCAAGTTGGGATTGTGTATGCACAGTTGTATGGATTTATGTAAGCATTGGACTGAGGTTTCTTCGGCAGGATGCGAGAGCGAACAGTCTGAGTACAGGTGTCCCATAGCACTGTCTGGCCAGCCACCATTTGCCTGCTGTGCCACATCAGCAGTGGGTTGGGGTTTGGAGGACACATTGCCAGCCAAGGCTGGAGCTAGAGTTTTGTTGAGGTGTCTGGACTAAGGAAGTGTCAGGCCTGGTTCCAGTCTCTGCCTAGACGTGGCACTGTGGGCAGGAGCTCACATGGCATGACCTGGGGAAGACGGGGCCTGCTGCCACACCCACGGCTGCAGACGCAGAAACCAGAGGGCCGGGCAGGTTTGGGCCTGGGCTGGGAGCTGGCTGCAGCCATTTGGACTGCTC